AATCATTTAGCAGTGCCAGCCATCACCAGGCCCCAATTTAAAATGATATATTCAGCAGGATTTGTGAATATTTGTATACCCAGGTAAGTGAAAGAGTGAACACATGGGATGTGAGAAAAGGTAGGCAGCAGAACCAGTACTGGAAAAGTTCAGCAGTCGTTAAAGTGGTTGTAAATGCATAAATATACCAAGTGAAGTGATTAGCCTTAGGTGAGATACAGAGATGAAACAAACAGAGTACATAAGTTGTACCTGTTTATCTGCAGCCCCTCCCCTCTGTACATCGTTCTAAAACACATAGGTCAAAGGATTTTTCTCAGCTCCAACAAGCAATGGGCGGGGATCTGATGTCACACACTGCACAGACTAGAGAGGAGAGCTAAGTGTAACCTGAGAACAGAATGGAGGGAATGGACACACTTCCCTCTATACAGACCAATAGGGAAGCCTGCACAGCAGAGGCTGTCAATAACCTGCTGTGTGCTGTAAGGGCTGTCACTCTGGATTCTGTGGTGTCAATTTAGACTGTCAGAGGTGAGTCGTGCAGATAGCAGACAGAGTAGAGATCAGAAAGGAACAACACTTGGTGCTTTGAACCATGGCAAGTACATACTATGGAGGGATATGCTTTGTTCATTTTTCATTTCAGAGGTTTAAAATCACTTAAATGCAGATTTGTGCCAATTCACCCGAAAGCCATAAAATAACCAAAAATACTTAAACACTGCATATTTCATTGGATTCAAGAGCATCACCAAATACATGAGGGCATCAATAGCATCAGGGCTTTTATTCAGCAGGAACGTGGGAGAACTCAATTTCGACACCTCTAGCACTGAATCTATGTAGTGGCTTTTTGGGGATCTATTGTCATTGGAGGAGATCTATTTTTGTCTATTGTTGCTAGGAAAGTCTGTTGTTGCTGGGGGATCAATTTTTGGTGGAAAGGAACTACTGTTGAGGGAGGGGTCTATTGTTCCCGGCTGCTGGAAATCTGTTTTTGCTGGGCTAGTATATTGTTGCAGGGGTCCATTGTTGCTGGGGGAATCTATTGTTCCTGGATGAGGTCTATTGCATGGGATTTATTATACTGCTTTTCTTGTTATCATTAACAAGTTCCATAGAAATGACTTACCACAAAATGATATTTGGCTCTTTAGTCTCTAAAAGAAGCAATATTGGGGGGGTTGGGGGCAAGGGAAGGTGCCCAGGTGGGTATAGGGCAGAATCAAGTGGTGACTCATTAGGAGGAGGGGGTTCCTGCACCTATTCTCTGAGAAAAAAGCCATGGATAGCCTATTACTGAGATATGGCCCTCCAAAGCAGTGTTTCCCAACCTTTTTCCAGTCAAGACACCCATTAAAGTGGTTCTAAAGGCTTACCGTTTTTTAGAATAGAATGCATGAAGTTAAAAAAAAAACCTTCTCTGTGCAGTATCCCCCCAGATGTAAAACTATTACATCAGCTCCACCAACTCTCTCTTCTCATTGGCTCAATGGCTGTGATTCACAGCAGTGAGAGCCAATGGCTCCCACTTCTGTCTCAGCCAATGGCTCCCACTTCTGTCTCAGCCAATGGCTCCCACTTCTGTCTCAGCCAATGGCTCTTCCTCACTTCTGTCTCAGCCAATGAGAAGAGAGAAGGGGTGGGGCTGATGTAATAGTTTACGTCAAAGAATAAATGCAGTGCCATAGTTTTACATAATGCAGCAACATTCACACATGTAGGACACCCAACATTAAAAGTGATGTATTCTTTCAAAGCAAATATACTGTTGCACACTGGTACTGAATTGTATTCCAGCATTTCTTCTCTATTTTCTCTCCCCGCACAGCTAATGTGACCCCAGTGCTGATGGAAAGGGGCAAGGGGTCAAACAACAACTGTGCTGGTGCCTGATGTCCTCCTTATCAACCAACAAGCTGGCCTGCACAGTACCCAAGGTTGAAATGTTGCACAATGAAACCCTTTGGCTTTGTGTAATAAAAGAGTAGGATTTATCCACTGTTGGTTTGTGCACAAATTTTTGGGCAATTTGGGACAATTTTTAGAAATTTTACCACGGCACCCGTGAAGGACACAGAGGGCAACTCAGCTTGCCTAGGCACCCTGGTTTAAAAAAACTCCAAAGTAGAATAACAGAGTCCTGCGAATCACGTGATAAAAACATATCTAGATCTTATGTGTACCTCAAACCAATAAGAAAATCAATAAGACAGTAACTAGACATGAGCAAGCCAAAAATGTTTGTTTCGTTTCATTTTTGGATCCATTTGTTAAGTAGAGAATTTGTTTCCGGATGCATTTGCTAATGGACTGATCCATTTTGGAATTTGTTACACATCTTCATATTCATTTCATTTCTTTCAGAATAGCGCTGGTTGGTAAGAAGTGGGCGGCTGGTCGCCATGTCCTTAGCAACCATGACTTATCTGCTGTCAGCGGGATTCCCTGCTGTCAGCAGAATGTAAATGAAACAAATGTTGGTTTAAGAAATGTAAAAAAAAACGAACAAAAAAAACAGCATGCTCCCCCGGAATTCCGTACCAGACCCTTAGGTGTAGTATGGATTTTAAGTGGAATGCCACACCAAATTGTAAAAAATTCTCAAAATCCATACCAGACCCTTATCCAATCATGCAACCTAACAGGCAAGGAAAGGAGGGGGACAAGTGAGGGCCCCCCATCTTGAACCATACCAAACCATATGCCTTCAACATGGGGGGTTCTTTGTGCTTGTGGGGTCTGTGGGCAGGGGGTTTATCCGAATCTGGAAGCCCCAGATTCTGCCCCCCTATGTGAGTGAGTTTGGGTACATGGTACCCCTATTCATTCACCAAAAAAACTGTCAAAAGTAAATAAAACACACAGAAGGTTTTTAACAAGTCCTTTATTAAAAAACAAAAACACAAAAATTAAATAAATGTCTCCTGAAGTGGATCCAATGTAAATCACGCTGATCCGCATGAAAAAAACAAAATCCCACTGCTTGTCAAGCACATCCTCTCCCATTTCACATGCCTAAGGACAGGTAAACACGGGGCGAGGTCATCTGGTAAGGTCACTGAATGACCCCATCCCCATATTCACCTGTCATTAGCGTGTAACGGGATGCTGCCTGAATGACAGATAAACATGGGGGGCGGGGTATCAGGTGACATCATCCCCCTCTAGTGCACCCACCCATGTTGTGGGGCATGTGGCCTGGTATGGTTCAGGAGGACGGGGGGGGGGGCACTTGCTTGTCCCCTTCCTTTCCTGGCCTGCATGCTCAGATAAGGGTCTGGTATGGATTTTGGAGGGGACCCACTGCCACTTTTCTTTTGAATTTTGGCATGGGGTTCATCTTACAATCAATACCAAACCTAAGGGTCTAGTATGGGTTTTGGGGGGACCCCACACATTTTTTTTTTAAATTTTGGCACGGGTTTCCCCTTAAAAGGCACACCCAGACCATTAGGGCCTGTATGGATTTGGGGGGAGGCGGTACTCCCACAATGTTTTTTTTTTCTCAATTATTTTTTTAAGCTGGTATTTGTTTTGTTTTACATTCTGTTGACAGCAGGGAATCCCACTGACAGCACGAGTCATGGTTGTTAAGGACATGGCGGTCATCTGCACCTTAACAACCTGCTTTTCAATGCATCCAAATTCATTACAATGTCCCATTTGGAAATTCGGATACATCTGAATCTCCAAAAAATGGGATTTCTGTTTGAGAACCAAATCTGAATGAACACAATCACATATGTTTAATAGTAAATAAATGTAAAATGTACATATTATACATTATTCAAAGGTAAAATTAATCTTGTTATGGATTTTTCCATGTACACTTTAAATCGAAATACATTTTTTATTCAAGTGTTTTGTATATATTTTTGATTAATGTTATCTGAATTATGTACCACTAGATACATCAATATTTTTATCTTTATTTTTGTTTTCCTATTCTTTATTTTATTCTGATATGTATTTTATATCACCTTGTAAGTTATTTATATTGTTTCATTTTTCATTTTTTTAGTCCTGATGAAGGGGGGAACCATTTCTCCCGAAATGCATTTGACTCTCCTGATGATCTTTGTCAATAAAAATTTGGCCTAAACCTCTGAAGTGTCGTGAACTTTTTCAGTGGGCATTCTTCAACACCCACCTCAAAAATTTATTATGCATTGTATGTCCCTTGGGAGAGAGGTAGCAGCCCCAAGACTAAAGCAAGGTCCCTTCTACATTGTATTTTAATGGTTTGTTAGCCTTTCGAAGGAGGACTCAATCTAGCTCAAAGTACCAATACATCACGTCTATTTGACCATTAGAAGGAACGGAGAGAGGGGCGCCAAACTAAGTGCATTATTAGAAGGTTTTTTTATTGAGCAAGGTAACTTAGGTAACTCACTAGATAACAGTAGAGAAAGGCATGTGTCTCAGGATGGACGTCATCCTTCAGAGGTCCCCAAGGCTGATGGAGAGGGTGGAATGTCATCTAGGAGTGAGGGCTGCTGGGGGGAGCCAGGTATTCTGATTCCACGCAGTTAGCGTCCAGCGGTTGTGATGGAAACCAAGCTGGAACGCAAATGGCTGCCGGTGGACATGATGTCACCACGTGAGCGTAATGCCACAAAAAGGGGGGCAGTAACGCGTTTCGAAGCATCTGCTTCTTCATCAGACTTTAGAGGTCCACCCTGCAGCCATTTGCTGGCTGGCTTCCATTGCCCATCCATTGTTGCTGCTACCTCTCCTCCCCCTGCAACTACTCTCACTGTCACAGGGGAGCCAGAACTTTGTATCATGTGACCGCACCAGAGAGGATTAAAAACAAGATATTTCCACAGATTTCCTTTAAAAAGGCTATGCAGCAGAGGTAGGAGAAGAGAGGAGGCAACATTTTATCATTACTTATAGTTAGCCTTTGCTTAAAGCAGCGGTTCTCAACCTGTGGGTCGCGACCCCTTTGGTGGTCAAACAACCCTTTCACAGGGGTCGCCTAAGACCATCGGAAAACAAATATTTCCGATGATCTTAGGAACCAAGACACCGCTCCTCTATCAGTCTCCAGGCGGGTCCGCCCACATGCAGATACGCCCATATTTCCCTGGACCGCAATGTGTGGGCGGGCTGACATGCCGCCCCTGTCATCTGGCCACACCCCTGGGATCACTCAACAGCTCCGCCTCCTCCTCTCTGGTGATTGGCCGCTAGAACTGGAGCTCAGGAGAGGCACACAGGCGGCCAATCACTGGCGAGGAGGTGGAGCTTGGAGAGAGAAGGAGCCGAGTGGCAGAGTGAAGGTCAAAGAAGATCGAGTGAGGGAGCGGCCGGAGAAGGAAGACAGCTGACCGGTAAGTGTCTGTACTGTGCAAGGATGGTGCTGCTGCAGCCAGGTATGCTGGCTGTAGATGGGAGAGGGAGGAAGTGAGCCCAGGCTGGAGCAGGGGTCAGCAAGGTAAGTATCATTGGTGTCAGTGGGAGGAATAGTGCCCCATCATTGGTGTCACTAATACCAATGATGGGGCACTATTTCCCCCACTGATACCAATGATGGGGCACTATTCCTCCCACTGATACCAATGATGGGGGCACTATTTCCCCCACTGATACCAATGATGGGGCACTATTCCTCCCACTGAAACCAACGATGGGGCACTATTTCTCCCCTCACTGACACCGATTGGGCACTATTCCTCCCCCTCACTGACACCAACGATGGGCACTATTCCTCCCCCCACTGACACCAATGAAGGGGCACTATTCTACGCCCACTGACACCAATGATGGGGCACTATTCCTCCCACTGACACCAATGATGGGACACTATTCCTACCACTGACACCAATGATGGGGCACTATTCCCCCCCCTACCACACTGACATCAATGATGGGGCACTATTCCCCCCCTAAGCAATATGATAGTGTGACAAGGACACCCCTATCTGAAAAAGAAGGTTTCTAGATGATCCACGCGGAGTAATATGAATTCAAAGGAATTTTAACAATACTTTATTTGATCACATAGATCATAGGGAGGTTAAACATGAGCACGGTGTACATATGAAAAAAATAAAATCATGTTAAAAAACACTTAGCGTCTTCAATTTAGGGTCATCTTAGCCAACAGAGCACCATATAAGGCAGAGTTGTGTAATGATGAAATAGTTATCCTGGGTTTCCGTAGGTTTCCCGCTTTATATTTGAGTGTGTTACGGATCCGCCAGGTGGCACCTCTGGCAGCCCACTAGGCGGAATCACCCGGAGCGTGGGGTCTAAGTCCCGGTCTGCGTTTTCAGCAGGGCCCCTGATGGTGGGGATGGACTTGGAGCAGAACCGGGACCAGGTCACGACCTCCGAGCAATACCACCCGTGGCAGAGGGAGCCTCCGTGGATAGAAGTAGGACAGAGTAGAGTCAGATGTGAGGAGGCCGGCAGGACCTGGCAGGATAAACCGGCGGTTGTCACCGTGGGAAATGGCGTGGTACCGAGACAGAAGGCAGAGAGTGGTCAGGTCGCACGCTGGGTCAGCTACCGGGGTCAGTCCGCAGAATGGTCAAACAAGCCGGGGGTCGGGACAGGAGAAGGCAGCGTAGTCAGGGACAACCCGGGTCAATCACAGGGGAAGGCAGCGTAGTCAGATAATCCGGGTCAGGGCAGGAGCAGGCAGAACGTCAAACAATCCGGGTCACAATCACAGGAAACACAGGTATCAGATCAGACCTTGCGGCGATTTATGACAGTGCAGGGCATCTTTAAATATCGCGCCCTGCACTGCCATTGGCCGCCCATGACGCGCCCCCGGGCTGTCATTGGCCGCCCGAGGCGCGCCTGCGGCTCCTACTGCGCATGCGCGGCCTCCTGTCAGCCGCGGCCCGCCGGGATCTGGTGCCTGTGTCCCGGCGTGAGCCGCCGCTATTGCGCATGCGCCGGGGACGGCGGACCCTGACATTGCCCCCCCCCTACGGGCACCCTCCGGGAGCCCCACTGATTTCTCCACCGCGGGTGGCCACGAAAGAACTCCCGGACGAGCCTGGGAGCGTGAACATTCTGGATGGGTTCCCAAGAGTTTTCCTCAGGACCATAACCCTTCCATTTTATCAAAAACTGCGTCTGGCCTCCCCTCCTACGGCAACCGAGAATCGTTTCTACCTCGTACTCTTCTTGTTCACCTATGGTGACTGCCTCAGGAGGCCTGGATTCCCGATCCGGGAAAGGGTCCGATGCGGCCGGTTTCAGAAGAGACACATGAAACACCGGGTGAATCCTGAAAGACTCCGGCAGTTCGAGTTCGTAAGCTACCTCGTTGATGACTCGCTTGACTTGGAACGGGCCAACAAATTTCGGACCCAATTTCCTTGATGGACACTGCATCTTCAAGTTGGCAGTGGCCAGCCAAACCCGGTCTCCAGGTTGAAGCGCCAGTTCCCCCCTTCTCCTCCTGTCAAATGCCTTCTTGCTGTCCTCCTGGGCTTTCGTGATGGCCTCCTGAACTGTTTTGTTATTGGTCGAAAGGAAATTTAGGATGTCTTGAGATGCTGGTACTGAGCTCTCTGGCATGAGATCGGGAAGAAATGTTGGATGGTAACCGTAATTGGTGAAGAACGGGGATTGCCCCGTAGCGGAGTGGTTCGAGTTGTTGTAGGCAAACTCCGCTGACGGTAACAGCGTCAACCAGTCGTCCTGTAGGTAGGACGTGTAGCATCGGAGGTATTGCTCTAATACTTGGTTGGTCCTCTCTGTTTGCCCATTGGTCTGGGGATGGTAAGCGGACGAGAGTGACAACTTGATTCCCAATGCTTCGCACAAGGCCTTCCAGAACCTTGAAGTTAACTGGGCTCCCCGATCTGATACTATATCCTCGGGAACTCCATGTAGTCTAACTATTTCCTTGATAAATATTCGTGCAGTTTCCGGCGCGGATGGTGTCTTTTCCAGGGGTACGAAATGGGCCATCTTAGAGAAGCGATCGACAATCACAAATATGGCAGTGTGGCCTTGAGACGGTGGGTTTCTTCGACAATAAAGTCCATGGCTATCATTTGCCAGGCCCTCTTTGGAATTGGCAACGGGCGCAACAATCCCCAGGCCTTGCTTCTGGAGGGTTTATTCCTCTGGCAGGTAGGACAAGTCTGAACGTAGCGCTCGCAGTCCTTGACCATGTTCGGCCACCAGAATGAGCGCTGAAGAAGTTCCAGGGTCTTCGTAACTCCGAAATGGCCCGCCATTGGATGGTCGTGGCAGTGGCCCAGGACCATGGTTCGGACTCCTTCGGGTACTACGATCCGACCCTCCTTCCACAATAACCCTTCACGGTTCAGGAGAGGTGTCCCAGGCGGCGCTGGTAGTCCCACGGAAGCGTCAAGAAGTTTGGCGCGGAGTTCCGTCTGTAGGACGAGGAAATTTCCGGATGGTAGGATCGTGTCAGGTCTTGGTGTATCGTCGGGGTCCTCAAACATGCGGGACAGCGCGTCCGGCTTAGTGTTCTTAGAGCCAGGTCGATAAGTTATGTGGAAGGTAAACCGGGAAAAGAAAAGAGCCCATCTCGCCTGGCGTGGCTTCAGTCGTCTGGCTGTCCTCAAATACTCCAGGTTTTTGTGATCGGTATATATCAGGATGGGGTGTGTAGCTCCTTCCAGCAAGTACCCGCCATTCTTCCAGGGCGGTCTTTATGGCCAGGAGCTCCCGATCTCCGATGTCGTAGTTTCGCTCGGCAGGTGTCAATTTCCTGGAGAAGAACGCTACAGGATGTAGCAGCTCCTTGGTGCCGTTCCTTTGAGACAGGACCGCTCCTACCCGCGTTTTCTGAGGCGTCCACTTCCAACACGTATGGGAGAGAAGAATCGGGATGACTGAGTATCGGAGCAGAGGTAAAAAGTTTCTTGAGAACTTCAAAAGCAGTTTGTGCTTTGGTAGACCACTTAAAGCTGATCCCCTGTTTAGTCAGTTGCGTGATTGGGGAGACCAGTCCGGAGAAGTTCTTGATAAATTTTCGATAAAAGTTTGCAAAACCGATAAAAACGCTGCACGCCCTTCTTATCGGTGGGTATCTGCCAATCCAGGATTGCCGAGACTTTCCGGGGGTCCATCGCGACCCCCGCGGGGGAGAGAACCAATCCCAGGAATGTGATCTTATGCTGTTCAAAACAGCATTTGTCTGCTTTGGCGTATAGCCTGTGTTGGCGCAAACGTTCCAACACCCGCATCACGTGATTTCGATGAGCCTCCAGAGAGGGCGAGAAGATTAAGATGTCGTCCAAATAGACAACCATGAAGATATCAAGGAAATCACGAAACACGTTGTTTATAAAAATGTTGGAAGGTGGCCGGAGCGTTACAGAGCCCCCGAACGGCATGACCAGGTATTCAAAGTGTCCGTATCGCGTACGGAAGGCCGTCTTCCATTCATCACCTTCCCTGATACGAACTAGATTGTAGGCCCCCCGTAAGTCTAGCTTAGTAAAAACCATTGCGGACCTTAACCTCTGGAGGAGCTCGGGAACCAGGGGTAACGGGTAGCGGTTTTTCACCGTGATCCTATTCAGGTCGCGGTAGTCTATACAGGGCCGCAGTGTCTTGTCCTTCTTCTCTACAAAGAATAGCCCCGCCCCCGGCTGGGGACGTGGAAGGGCGAATAAACCCCTTCTGAAGGTTTTTTCGTCTATGTATTCCCTCAAAACTCCTGACTCGAGCTCTGATAAAGGGAAAATACGGCCGAACGAAATTTCAGATCCGGGCAGGAGGTCTATGGGGCAGTCGTAAGATCGGTGTGGGGGAAGTGTGTCTGCCCCTTGCTTACTAAACACGTCCAGAAAGTCGTGGTAGGCCGGGGGAATAACCTGGGACAGATCTGTATCCCCATCCATGCATAGGAGTAATTGGGGGACCACGGGCCCTGAGACGTGGCAACTTTTCAGACAGTATGTGGACCAAAACTGCACGGTTCCCTTCTCCCAGTCAATCTGGGGGTTATGGGCTCGCAGCCAAGGAAGCCCCAGAATGACCGGGAAAAGGGGGGACGCGATGGCGTCCAGACGGAGGAATTCCTGGTGATGATCAGCCATTGAGGCGAAAATAGGGGTGTCTCCTGATTCACCACTCCCGATTTTAAGCTAGACCCATCCGCCAGGAAGATGTTCAGCCCCCTTTCCTTGGTCTGGAGTGGGATACCTTGTTGGTGAGCAAACGTGAGATCAATAAAGCAGCTACATGCCCCCGAATCTATGATAGCTGTCACCGTCAAGGTTCTTCCTGGGAGCTGTAAAGACACCGGTATGGCCAGATAACTTGACTGATCATCCCTTTCCGCAGATAACGGAAAAAAACTAAAAGTGGACTTACATTTTTTCGTAGGACAGGAGCGCACCCGGTGGCCAGCTTCTCCGCAGTACAGACAGAGGTTCTGTGATAGTCTCCTCTGACGTTCTTCGGCCGATAATGTGGACCGAGCCAGTCCCAGTTGCATGGGTTCGGAGGTGTCCTCA